TTTGGTTTCTGTCCTGTTCAGATCAAACAGCACAGTCTGCTCAGGAAATATTTATATAATAAATACACATACTCTTGAAATGGCAGTCCAAGAGCTGCTGCTTGATCATGTAAGGTGGTGAAAAGAATGTTTCTGAATCCTCTTTTGTGACTGTTAAGCATAATATTAACATTGCAGGGCATTCTCTGTACCTGACAAAATAATTCAAAATTTTCTCCATCAACTGTTTGAATCTAAGTCATGTGCTCAGTGGAAAGCTGACACAACGTGCAGCTGGAAGGATTTTTTAACTATAAAGGAGCAATGGATAGCCTCACAGTAAAATCTAAATGGGTTTAGACCTGTGTGAAAATCACATAGGTGTGACAAATTTCAGTGTCCATAATGCCAGTTCAGTTACTTCTCAGAGGAGAATCTTACCTTAACTTCTCTGTACGGATGAAATGTTAAGGTTTTTTTTCCCCTGAACAAGTAACTTGCAGCACATTTGCTTTGCATAATCACCTGTGTGCTTTTATCAGAGCATCAGCAAGGGCCATATTTCCTATTTCAGAACAATAACAGAAACCCCCAAAGACGATGAAGAAAGATTTTCTAGATACTTGTTTCTCTTATTTTCTTTCATTCAGACAAACTTTCCACATCATGCCACCATGGACTATTCCTGAACTTTCCCAGTCATTTTACTGTGCGTCTCCGAGGAGCATCCAGTCATCTTCTCTAAAGTCCACTTCAGGTCTGCAGTGACACCACAGAATCATAGAATATCACCAAGCCCAACTCCTTGTCCATCACAGGACTACCTAGAACTAAACCATACAACAAAGAGTGTCATCCAGATACTCCTTGAACTTTGACAGGCTTGGTGCCATGACCACTTCCCTGGGGAGCCTGTTCCAGCGATCAACTAACTACCTGAAGAATCTTTTTGTAATGTCCAGTCTGATCTTCCCCTGGCACAGCTACACCCCATTTCCTTGTGTCCTACTGCTGGTGACCATGGAGAGATCACCAGCACCTTCACCTCTGTTGCCAGCCTTGAGGAAGTTGAAGGCTGCAATGAGGTCACTCTTCAGTCTTCACTCCAAGCTGAACAAGCCAAGTGACTTCAGCCACTTCTTGTACATCTTGCCCTGAAGGCCTTTCACCATCTTGGTTGCTTGCCTCTCTCTGCACATCCTCTAATAGTTTATTATCCTTCTTATATCAGGTCCCTTCCAACCGAGGCCATTCTATGATTCTACGGCCAAAACTGCACACAGTGCTCGAAGTGGGGCTGCACAAGTGTGGTGTAGACTGGGACAGTCACCTCCCTCGCCTAGCCAGTGATGCTGCACACAACACTCCAGATGTGGCTTCGCAGGTGCCAAATAGATCACTGGCATCAACCTGCAGGTCCAGTTAGCCAGCACCACTGTAAGTGCACACTGACTCATGCTCAAGACATTGAGATAGACAAAGCATGACTGAATTTAGTTTATTTTGCTGAAGGATGGCCATTTTCCACAAGCCACGTTGCTGACTGAAATGCAGAACTTGATCTCAGACAAAAAAAAATTACATTTATACAGCAGCCTTATGAAAAAATGCTATCACAGGAATAATTCAAGTGCCAACGAAATACGAGATACATTTGAAATGCCCTTCCACATGGCTCTAGTCTAAGTAGTACAAGAAATGCAAATACTATTACCCTATATACTCAGCTGTTTGGTATCTGCATGTAATTTTACTCATATAAGGAGCTAAGTGTCTTCTTTTGTCTAATGTCATCATGGGTGAGAATCTTCAGAAGTCTTGGGCAAAAATATTATGTTAAGAAAACAGCTTTCCCCTTAAAACAAAGTACTGTCCCTTATTCTTCATGTGCCTATCTCTTGCTTCCGGACAAGCGATGATAGCAAAGGCCTTGAAAATCCAGGGGCTCTGAGATACACGCTGATCACAGTGGTTAAGTATAGTGTTTGCTACAGGAATGCAACCTTGTGAACTAGATAACACTGGATATGGGGATAACAAAGAGAACACAGAGCAGAACCCAGAAAATGTAAACCAAACAACTTAGGGTAAAACTTGGAGACAATGCCAAATTGCTGGCGAGTGAATGAACAGCCAGAAAGTGGACAGTAGCAGCAAACGAATAAAAAATAACCTTACGTGAAGCTAAGAGCAAAGAGGAAGAAACCTTCGCAACAGTGTGTTCTTCCTGGTGGAGAACATAAGACACTGACAACTTGCTATAACCACCTACCCATCTTTTTTTGGAGGAGCAGACCTCTCCTGCCCTTGTTGGCAGGAGTAGATACCGGAAAACTTATATATGTGAGCTTTAACTACTTTATTAATGAATTAGCAATAGTCGCATACTTTGTCCTAAGATGTCCAAAGTCACTTTAACTGGACTATAATAAAGTTTTGAATAGATTTTCCTAGTTCAGTTAGACTAAATAAATTTGTAGATCTGTATACAAGGTGAGTTTCTCTCACCCACATAAACTGCAAGGGAAGTTGGGCACCCTGCAATTGAGGCAGTTATTAAAATGGGACCTTTTTTTCCTAGGATCACAACTTTGTGATCCCAACTGGATATAATGAGGCTGAACAAGGCTAGAGTCCATCCAAGAACTTTAACTGTATGATTTTCATATTTACCTAAAATAACACAGATTTAAAATTTTGGTCATAAAGAGTAAAAGTGGATTTTCTGGGAACCAAAGGAAATGGAGGTAGCTCCTACTCAGAGAGGACGGAGACTGCGGAGACTGCACAGACACTTGCCAGGAACGTTTGATGCCACAAGATGGCAATCATGCATTTCCCACAGCCCTCACTTTGGTAGAAGGTTCCGGAAGTTCAGTAGCATCAAGGAGCAGGAGAGCTCAAGGCAATATGGACAAAAGTCAGCTCGGGAAAGCAGAGTCATTATAACGTTGCACAATTTATTTCTTATATTAGTTTATTAAGCTATCTTCGTAACAGAAAATCTACATGAGGTATGGAAACACGAAACTAGATTTACCATCCTAATCCTATTTTGGCAGTTCTCCCATAGCACTGGGAACATTCAGGGCCTTGTGATTAGTGCTCGTTACCACTGTTAGAAAGAATGATTCACTCCCCTAAGGGCGTTTTGGCAAGAGGGAAATGGTGGAAAAAAAATAAAAGAGGAAAGCTGGGGAAGAAGCCAGAACTGGTTTAGGAAAAGAAAAAAAATACATATATAGATATGCATACACACAGAGACACTGCCTATGTATTATATATAGCCTGTGTGTGTATATATATACGCACACACCGCATATTTGATCTTTACTACACCACATACAGCATACATACAGTGTGCATACATATACGTACTGTGTGTTCTGACAGTGCTGAAAAAAGCACAAACAAGCACAGTAAAAATTGGTGGATGAGTACAGAAACGGAATCATTTAAGTTTCAATATCTGAAATTTCTGTCAGTTTAATTCAATGTCTGACAATAAGTTGAAGGACACCTGTATCACCAAAAGTGGAAAAGAAAATCATTAGACTTCTATAAATTAAAAAAATTGCCAGGTACACAACTCCAAGTCGTGAAGCATTCTCCAGCAATCCAAAATACCAGAGCAGCATTTACTACTTTATGAGATCCCTCCCTAATAAACAAAAGGATTCTGGAATAGTATGGGTCTCAGAGCAGAATCATTATCATAAAGGGTGAATCAAACCTCCTAAAACCTCCACAGTGCACGTAAACACCCAAGGAGATAGAGGAGTGTCCTTCAGAACAGATTCACTGCACAGGTTCACTCCTCATCTTCACCAAGAGATCTGTCACCATTTGCTACACGGCTGGATAAAATGCACATGCAGAACACCAGTCGTAATAAACAATACATATACGCAAGCTATGACAACCTATAGATGATAATCTGGAAGTGTAGAGCTAAATCAAAGGGATAGCAGGCTTTGCTCAACAAAAACAGACGGCAGTGTAGTACAGACCAACTTCATGTCATGTGCTGCTTTTGGCTAGCACATCAAAGCCACCAAATAAGCCCATGTCTGCATGGCAACAGTGGGGGAATTTTATTTTTCCAGTTAAAATTATACTGAACCCCTGAGAGAAAGAAGCACGACAAAATAACTTTTGACATTATTAATTTCCTGAGAACAGTATAATGTTATAATAAAGTTATAATTCAGTAAATTAACTGTGCACATTTTGCTCATCAGTAGCCAAATCATATTCATGATTTATTGTCAATTTTTAATTTGTCAAATTATCAATATTAGTGCATTTTGCTTTCTTCCTCCAGCTGTACAGCCTCCTAACCAAGTAACATAATGATATAAGACAATACGAAAGAAAGAGAAGTGAACCTCATCTACATGTTATCTGTAGCGCAATTAAAGAGATGCGATAGACAAACGTCAAACATTCCTGGTTGAAAACGTGTGCGAGCACTACTTAAACTTAACTGTAGCACTAGCATATCGGAGGAGGAACATTTCTTCCAGTCCATTCAGGCCAATTGTTTGACAGCGTTTCAGGTACATTGATTTAGCTTCTCCTGTTTATGTGGGTGCTTTCAAAAGCCACGGAAGAGGAAAAGAACACATATCCCTCCAAAAAAGAAAATTAAGAGCATACATTCACAAAAGTTGCCAGAGCCGTATTACAGAGCCATGCTCCTGACGGAATATACATAGCACCTAATTACTATAAACAACATCCTTCAGCTACAGTAATAAATGGATTAACATCACATTTCTCATTAAAACCTTCAAAATCATCTGAAATGCAACACTCCTCCAGGAAAACATTTCACTTTACCTGAGTGTCCAAAAATCACTGCAAGGCAGTGTTTCCATACGGATGCTACAGAAAAAGCACCACCTATGCACTCAACAACAGCGACCTGCTGCAATGAAAGTTTTCGTACATAGATATGGATTCAGCTGGGGCCTAGTTAACTTCAGCCTTAAAAAACCACATTTGTTTAAAGAGGTTACCTCCAGGAGCCATGGTTTTAGTTTTCTGTCCAGCAGAATATCAAATCCTAGGACTTCAAAGCAGACACTGTCACTTCCTGGTGCTTGCCCTGGCCTGCACATGCGGTAAGCGTGAAGAACATGTGGCTCTGCAACTATAAGAGTCTTCACTACTAACTCCTGCAAGGATTTTTTTCAGAAAAATGTATCAGGAGAGAGGACACCAATATATATCAAACTAAAACATTTCAAACTTTAATCTTTTAAATTTCATTAAAGTAGCTACTCAAAGCAGATTTAAAATACCAAATGTTCTATAATAAAAAATCTCTTTCTATGGTGCAACAGACTGAATTATTTATATAGCTCTAGAGTTTATTGTTATACTTTCTATAGTGCCTAAGTACTTTTAGATATGTAACAACTTAAATACTAAAGGTACATTGGGACAAAGTATAGTTTAGCAAACCTTCACCCATTTCATTTTGCAATATATTTTTAAATTAATATTCTCAGAAACATACGTACAGATAGTGCCTAAGCTCTAACAGTCTTAGGCCTATTCCTCAGCTAAAGACACCTGTAACGACCACTGACTTCAGTGGCACAAGGCTGAGTCCACAGAAACACACGACACCGAATACAATTGTGTAAAACTTCACGCATAAAATTCACTTTATACTCCAGAAAAGTCTCCAATGGGATGGTTCCTTTCTGTCATATTACACGTTAATAACTGTTTGAAAAGGCTTTTGTCCTTTGGAAAAAGTTTAACACTAAAATTGTAAGCAGACTCTGAATTTAGTCTTTTAAGAAAACATAATCATCATTTGTATTATGTCCTTTGTGGCATGCATCGCTGAGAATTTGCATTAATAAAGTTTCAGCAATCATTCTGGATTCCCATAAAGAAGATGGCAGAAGCAATTAGTTTTCTAAGAATACACAAAGTAAAGCAAAGAGAAGCATATTAGTTTTATCTTACTGAAATATCATTCCAGAATTTGGAGACATCAAGATTATTAGTTTCTAAAAATTCAGTAAACCATTTTATGGAGCGTTTGCTTCCTTTGTCTTCTGTTTCATCCCGTTCAAAGTGTTCGTTATGTTTATTGACAGAGTAGTTAGTCAGATGCATATACAATTGACTCTAAAAAAAAAGGGAAAAAATTTTTTTAAAAGCCCTTAAATATAACTCTAGAACGGTCAATTCAAAATAATTAAAATTAAAAAATCAATCATTAAACAGTCAAACAGTTCATATTTGCAAATACACTGTGCAGATTCAGTGTTTCTGATTCTGGGAGATTTCATTTACTGAATGTTCTATCCTTAAAAAAAAACGCGTGCTCATATTTAAGTGAGTTGCAGTCAATGCATCTAACACTCAACATCTGTCTAAGCAATATATCTACCACTTCAACAAGTCTGCATGTAAACAACTACCTAAAAAAGTGAAAATCAGTTACCATAACTCACAAAATGATTACATTCCACGAGAAGCAAACAATAAAGTGCTATTTTTGAAGTGCTAAAAAACCTGGCATCTGTTTCATAGCCAATCCCACACTTCAGTTTTCACTGTAATTTCTTTATGAGAAATGTTCTTGTTATAGTGATACTTTACAATATCTTTTACATATAAACTCATCTGCGATGTTGGTATCTGTTAAAATTGCTCATTCTTGACTGGCTGGTAGCCATACATCAGAGGAAGGTAAATTTCAAGATATATATTACATAAATGAGTGAGTGCTATAGGTCCTTTACAGAGCAAAACGTCACCAGCAATAGATTCATGTTATCAGCTGCATTCAAAAAAAATAAATATTACTTTTCCAAGGCCAATTTATAAATCATGATTTATGTTTACATTATCTCCCAGTATAGATATTAATTCAGCTTTCCACTTACACTACCATTTTGACTGTCTTCATCACAGTGACAGTTCTCCGTCATGTTTGTTTCTTTCCTGAATGCAGTTGATATACTAAGCTGCCCACACGCCTTCTGTTTCAATTCCTTTTTGATAAGATAGCCAATAGGTAACACATGCCTGCTGCTGACATTTATCTCAATGCACTTACTTATCTTTCAAAAAAAACTTAATGAAATTAACAAAACCAATCAATTTAATTGCAAACTAATGAGCAATATATTGTATTAGTAATGAATTTCTCCCATGGCTTCCAATTACTGCTTTGAGAATCATTCTGAAACCTATTGTTTTTGAGTCATTATAACTGTCATCCTTCCATGAAATTTAAATTATTTCAGACAAAAGCAATTATCTTTCAGACTATAAAAAAACAAAGTGTTTTGTTAAACATCCAAACTAATCTTCAGTCTGAAGTTATCTGCACCAATGTCACTGGGGAACAACGTCACCCAACGAACAACGTCATTAGTGATAAGCCAGGTTATTTCATACCACAGACAAACTACAACACGAACAGTTGGGAGAACTCAGAAAAAACTGCTTTTCTGCTCATCCGCTCAGAGCATATTGCAGTTCTGCTAATGCCGAGATTAGTAACAGTAAAAAAAAATACTAACAGCAAACTATTACATAATATATAATACTGGAACTCTTCCAAATACACCATTTCTACTGGACTACCAATTATACCTGTATTCCTCAAAGGTGCATGAAGAGACAGTCACTATTTTAAGTGACAAGTAAGGAAGAAGCCTCTCCATATGCTGTGTATTGCATAATTACACTGAAGCAGCTCTAAAAGTATACGGTATGAAAAATGAAAGATAAGGTAGCAACAGAATACAGACTAAGGTATAAGAAAACCTACTGATGCCTCCCAATGCTTCAAATCTGCTTCTTTCTTAATGGACATCTGCATTTTGGTCTGTGCCAGAAGAGAGCGGTTACACCTCTCAGCATGGGGAAGTGCTACACAGTTAACAGTAGGATTAACGTGTCCAAAAACTTCAGCATGTCCCTTACCATTTTTTGGTTCTCTGCAAGTTTATCAGCAGCCCCGCACACCAAGTATATCCCCTTTTCCCTACTGCAGCCGTCGCTGATGGCACAAGCAGCAGATTCCTTCCCATTCAGGGACTGCAGGGACCACACTCATGCACTGCTCTTCTCCATTATCGTTTCCCTGCCTGCACAGGTTCCCAGCACAACGGCTGAAGCATTGCAGGATCCTCAGCAGAAGCTCTACACTTCAGGGATGTTAAACAATGATCTAGCAGGAGATAAAGTTAATCCGCCTCCTCACCCAACTCGAAAGTGTCTCAAATAAATATAAAAGCAATATAACTCTCCTTGGAGTGATTTTCTAGGTTGAATGTCAGTAACTGACATCTTTTTGATTTCTTTTAGGAAATATTTAAACTCTTTAACATACATAAATGCAAATCCCTAATTTTTTAATTGAATCTTATATCACAATTTATTTTATTTCACCTTGTCCTCACACCATACAGGTAAAAGTCTACATGCATAAGCAATAAATTGGAATGAACTCCAGCTTACCAAATTTGAGTCGCTGGGAGGATGATACTTCTCTGTGCCCATTCTCACCAGTCCATCATGATATAAAAATACTTTTAATGGATCACAGGAGGTAACAAGAATATATACACGTAAATCAAACTTGTAGCCTTCCATAAGAAACGGTTTGTCAAGATATTCCTGAACAATCAAGTGATCCTGAGCTTGCAACTTTTCTCCATTTCTTATTAAAGAGATCCTGATGAAAATAAAAGTTATTTTAAAAACACGAAACTCTGATATTAGTCTTCAAAATAGATTTTCATGGTCACCTATCCAGGTAGTCATGCCAGAGTCTACCTACAGACAGAAACTTACATGTCTGATTTATAGGACAGAGAAGAAGTTCTATTTGCTTACATGGCTTTTCTTTTCCTGTCCTTTATGGCGCTTCACCAAACAAAAAAAAAAAGGCAATAAGCCATTTCAGAATAACTTTGTTTCCTTTGATTCAACTTTTTTTAATAATGGGTTCCCTCTGCACTTAAAAACTGTTTGGCAGAACGACCAGTCTCCAACTTGTGTGATTATTCCCCTTGCAGCTCTAAAAACAGACTTCCAGTCATTGTCATAACTTTTGTCTGAGGCACAGCTTGCAAAGACCTCTCAGTGCTAACCTCACTTAGTGAAGATGTCTGCAAAGCAGAACACTGATCGGTGCCACTCAGGATGGCACAGATTAAGCTTACCAGTCCTCTGTCCCAGTTTCGCCACATCAGAATAAAAACCGGTTTATATACAGATTATAAACTGGCAGTGCTAACTACATAAACTTTTAAGTAACTGTATTAGCTAATATTTTTCAGAGTTATAATTATTAACCTCAAACTCCCTTGGTTTTATTGCCTTCATCTTACCCTCTATTATTTATGTCACATTTCAGTGTTCTGATGCTGAATACTTCTAAAACACCGAAGTACTTTCCAGGCATTTCTCTGAATTATGCCACTACTTTTCCCTTCAGTTTATCTTTGACCTTATCAAGAGGACTGGAAAACAAGTAAATGGAAAAGTTTGGAGGCTGTACTTTTAATTTTGCTATATTTTTGATAACTGAGAGTTTTGCTGCACTGCATAATCCAAATCAATATTAAAAGCAGTAAAATGTAAATATCTGAGAACATATATTAGAAATATCAGAACAAATACCAGAAATATCAGAACAGAGTTAAGAATTTATCTTCTTTTTTTACTGCCCAATCCTGTCACAAGCAAAACTGGTTCAACTCCACTGCAGGTCACAGTGTCTCCAGGGATGTCGCTCTTCCAGCACAGGTGTCACCTCCTTCCAAGAGTGTACCACATCCCCAACAGCATCTCCTCTGCTTCTCCCACACTTCTTGGCTGCTGCTCAGATATGTTTATGCTTCTCCGACTGGCTGCAGTTCTGGTACGCAATGGGGTGCCTGGGCAGGTCTCTGAGCTGGGAAAGACCCTGACCCCCCACACACGACACCCCTGCAGCCCCCAGCCACCCAAACCCTGCCAGTTATGCCCAATACAATCTCATCCCGTTAAGTCTAAGCACAACAGATCCATAAATATTTTTTTTAGATAAAGTCACAGTGAAAATAATACTGATCTTAACAGTTTTTTGAGTTTCATCAGAAAATACATTCTCTAATTATGCCACATTCAGAGCATTAAAATACCATTTCAATTTGGCTTTATATTTTAGCTGTTTCTGCTCATAAAGCCTTCGTTCATTACTAGATACATCATGCAACTTGAAATACAATCTTATTAATATACAGCTTCTGTCAATGTTGCAAATAGCACTGGATTCCACCTTCAATGGGTAAGAAGACTGAGGTTAACAAGCAACTTACCCGTGTCCCATTGCACCGTTAGCTGGTTTGACTATGAACGTTTTCTGTCTGCGTTTCTTCTTCAGTTCTTTTACATAGTTCTGAAACTGTGTATATTCTGCAGGGAAGATCCATGTTCGAGGAATAAAGCTATACTCCTGAGGCTGACTCTTGATCATTCTGCAGGAAGGTATAATTGAGTTAAAATCTTTTAACTACTTTGATGTTTCAGTCCTCAAGATTAAAAAGCATTTACAATAATCTGACAAGGAAACTTTTTTAGCAAAATACGAAGACAAATTTTTGTAGCTGTTTAAGAAGAGTTAGAGCTCTATAACATAATCACGCATACTTTAAGAATAACAAAAGCAGACTCTCTTGTATTGTTATCATATTTGGTTATTATTTTACTGGCATCCATCTCACTCTTGTTATAGGTTTTCTTCAGTTACTCAGATGATTTAACCATACTCCTATTCTTAGAAGTATTAAACTTACAATAGACCACGTGATTATAAATCTTCTCCTACCTAAGAGACTCCTGTATTCCTATACTACCTCCTCCTTTTTTTTTTTTCCCCCTTAGGAGGGGTGGGAATATTTAGCAAGTATTTTAATTTTCATATAGGTATGTGTTCAGGGACATATGAGGATCAACACACAAACAAAAAGATAAGACCTGGAATATCTGGAGTTTAATTAATTACAAGGAATTAATTTAAAATTAAAACAGAAGCAATTCAAGAAGAGTTTTTTGTCTTTTAAGGTATTTCAAAAGTAAGAAATTGTCATAAATATATCTTGACACAGGCCAAGCAACTGCTCCTGCACCTTCAACATAGGGCAAAACACACAAGCTTGGATCTGTGCTTGGTACCAGCACGTTACAATTACGTTTCCCTGAACACTTTTGTCAAAAGAAAGCCAAGAAATGCAAAGGTAGACGAGGAGGAAAATAAAAGAACTAAACCAAAAATGTTAAGATGTCCTAGGGAACAATTTCTGAAACTGAGCCTGGTTAAAGGATGCAGCAAGGTCCTGATCTCCCTGCTTTAACAGCTGGGGCAGCTGAGGTGAGCAGAACTCATTTCACAGCTCTGTTTGTGCAGAAAAGACAAACAGAAGAGACAAAATGGTAGAGAATTCAGTCAGTAGGAGTTTCCATCACCCAAAGCGATGTATCTGGCAGATGGGAAGCATATACCTGCACCAGACTGGCGGAGTATGCGCGAGATACTCACGGCTTAGCTTTAAACACAGGAGTGTTAGTATAGTGAGCAGCCAAGTTACAGGAGCAACGTGGACTTGGTGGTACTGTGCAGAGGGCTATACCACAGCTCCCAGCAGAATAAATTCAGTCTTTGCTGAGTTAAATACTGGCGCAGCTAGTTTGTTTCAGGTACTCAGAATATCTGAAACTTCATACACAACCTTGTACAAAATTAGTTTAGTTAACTCAAAACTACAAGTACTCTATAAACACAGGATGGACACATCTAAAATACAAATATCCACAGACCCACAGAAAGTGAGTGGATGATTTAAAAGAAAGTAACTGATATAGGAAGTTCCCCAACTTTGATTTTTTTTTAATAGCACTATGATGAAATTTAATACTTTTAAATTCATTACACATTTAAGTATACTTCTGCTTTTATAATGAAAAGTAACAGCATCAGAGTAACTTAAAAGAACCTTACAAGGTAATTTCAATTTTTCAATTCTACTATGATCCTACATAATACTCCTGATGCAGCATAAGACACTTTAAGTGGCTCAAATACTGGTGGAAAAAAACAGAGCTGCCAAGTACATCTGTAAGGCTAGGACTGTAGCCAAGCCCTGCTGGTATAATAGATACACTGTCACCAAATTGTTTAGCCAACTATCCAACAAACACCCTGCAGAAACTACAATAGCTACAGCGGTCCCGAAGTACAGCTGAGGTTCAGTGCTTCTGTTGCTTCATTGTAACTATTATTTTAACAAACATGGTTTGATGAAAGCCACCAAATATTCAAAAAAAGTTTTTAAAAGCACAAATAGATATTATAATTCATGATTCATGCATATTTTAAACTACTCTCTGTTATATATTTAAAAATGTTATTATCTTGCTAAGTGAATAGCTTATCTATGCACAATTTTTCCTATTTTACAGTAAAAAGCAATTTTCATGTTAGTTTCTATCCTTCTCAGAATTATTTATCATAAGTATCCTGAAGTGTTACACGACAGAGACTTGTCATTTAGCTTACTCATAGGTTTCCATACACATACTGTCTACTCAGGGAATACAGCTTCATGGTATTCTAGATAGAGTCTAGAAATATAGATATAATTCTAGATTATTTTGTGCCTGCAATTACATCAGTTCTATGTGCATTTCTCTATCCTATGCATAACTGGAGAGACTACAAACACTTAATTATACGAAGCAGAACACTTAACCACTGTTTGTAAGTTTTGGTGCTCACTAAAAACTTCAATGGAAGAATTCAGCTCTGTTCTTCCCTGCTTGGCCCTGTTCAGAAATGGCTCAGGGATACCAGCAATAGCTTGTGGAATCAAGACCTGCTCCATTACAACAGTCAGCACATCCGATATCTGCTTCTGTGGGCAGCCACTCTTCCACTGTGCTGCTCTATCCTGTAGCCTTGGCAGTCCTTAGTAGGAGGTCTAAGAATTAAATAGCAATTACTGTTCCTCTGAGTGCTATTTTAGCTCTCACATGTGGTCAGGCTGTGCTCTTGGTTCTCAGAGTGCTTTCTGTGCAGAAGAATTACAGATGTTGAACAAAATGCAGGTTACTAAAGACATGACTTGTCAGTTTAATAACACAGGTTCTGCTGCCTAGGTTACAAGGTCCTCTGCTATTTCAAGTATGAAAGAAGGAACAATTATTGGTCCATGATCAGTTCACAAATCTACTAAACATAAACAAGGCAGGTGCTGCAAAAAAAAAAACAAACAAAAAACAAATATCGCAAACATGGGTCTGTTCCCATTCATTCATCCAGAGCGCCTGGAGATCAGCTGTAAGAGGAATTCCTGAAGTGCAATTCCTCCAGAAGAGTATTTGCCTCTCAGAGTCTGGTAGATGGGTTCTTTCCCTCCTTTCCACAGAGCTTGCATAAAATGGAAGGGTGATACCAGCATAACAACAAAGGTACATGGAAAAGAAAAAGAAGAATCCACTTGCCACAAATTCTCAGCAGTTATTTCATGAACTCTTGATGGTACAAAACCCAGTTATTCTGCACAAGTCAGCAAGCGGAATAGAAAAGACTGCAAGCAGCAGAAAAGCAAGAGAACAGCAGTAGTATTTCTGCACAATCCTGTTCAAATAAATTTTAAGACAGAGCAGCAGCTGTATGGAACAAAATCCTCCACTCTTTAGACAAGAGCCTGCCCAGCCATATATCCCAACTGACTTGTGATTCCACATACGTATATCTGTTTCACAAACAGTCTCTCCTGAATTTTATAAATTAATATTATTAAGTACTGAATTGTGAGGCCAGTACTGTGAAAACACAGACTGATTAAAACCCTGCTACATCTATGGATAAAGTTAAATCACAACATAGATATGTTTGACCCAGAATTTTCATATCAAGGAAATTACTCCCTTCTTATCTATAGTATGTACAGTCTCCGCATTGAATACCTTTAAACTGGGTTTCAGACTCAGAATTCAGTAGGTTGAGAGAGGTATAATCAGACTGTATTTGAAAATAAACTCTTTAATATCCATTCACACAAGTTATTTTTTCTGTTCTACCATTACAGCATATAATGCCTGGGTGTATATATATATTAATTGCATTATAAAATAATTTGAGGCTCTCCTACTTTCTACAACGCACAGGCAGAAAACTGAACCCACATCATTCTCCACTGAAGTCAATTGGAGAGATACAGTAGCTACAGATCCAGGACCAGGCCAAAGTTCTTAAGGAAGTCTAGAAATTACTCTTGGTCTTCCCATAATCTCTTAGTAAAAAAAGAACAAACCTTACAAGCAATAATTCAGTATTGTACTGCATTAAATGCTATGGCTGAAAAACTTATTGTTAAAAGAAATATTACTTAGTCATGTTTCTTGCCAGAAAATCCTTTCTGCAGATTTCTCCCATTCCTGGAAAATGGTTGATTCTCTGAGGATGGAGAATAAAAGGAAGTTAGTTGGCACCTTTGAATTTTCCTGGCATATCTAGTAAAATCATTTAAAACATTCAACTGCATGCTCAGTCAAACATAATTAGTTTTACATATGAATTATTGAAGATAATATCTTATATTATACTATGCATTCGTAGCAATACTAAAGATGTTTTAAGTTTTATTCTCCTCCACCAGCCTGAGTGTTCACATTGATTTATTTTCTGACATGAAAGGAGACCATCACATTCTTGTTCACAAAGCTGCCTAGGAACAAAGAATGCCAGCAAAAAGCAACGGTAAAGAAAAGAATTATTCATTCACAGAAACTGTGGAGAGAGCTCTGCTTCTTAACTTACTGCTTAAAAGCTTATGAGTAACTTATAAATTATGTTTTGCATCTTTCAAAATCTGATCATTCACAACACCCAACTGGCAGAAAAAAAAGAACAGCCCCAAATCTTTAAAAAAACAGATTCCAGGTGGTATGAACAAAAAAGAGGACAGGATTTTAACTACGCAGTAGTGTCGCCTTATTACAATCCAGTTGGTGCTGTTTTGTGGGGATTTTTTTTTTCTCCATGCAAATGTAACTGACCGAAAGTGACACATTCCTGAAGTTTTCAGAGCGAAGCAATTTACTGAAATCATGTCAGAAATCCTAGCTACCGCACTTACCTGATAATTCCGAAGTTCAGCAATCTTTTCTTGCTGCACAGCAGAATCGCTCCATATAAGGTTGGCTGTTTCATCTTCATCACGTGTTTTCACAAATCCCATTTCTTGTATCACTACTCGTACTACAGAGAAATCACACACTTAGGAAATATTTTGAATCTCTAAAATAGATTAATTTTCAAAGTTTAAAAAAACAATTAAGATTTTAAACACTTGAATATTCAGCCCTTTGTCCACGAACAATGTTAACATGCAAGCTATTATTTTTCTTGCAATATTTCCATCAGTCTACTGCAAACCTGTTATTACAATGTTACAGCACCTTGTACTGAGGCTGGAATCAGAGCACAACCACTGAGGGGAATTGTAAAGAGCTTCAGGGCATTCCACAATCATCTAGTAAAAGTCCACTTGCACGGCTTTTAGACTTAATCTCAGCTACCACATATGTCAATTTTAAAACAGTGATGACTATAAGTGTCACTGCAGACAGGGGACAAGAATGTCTTCTTAGTCAACGTACAGGACTTACAAAAGCAATAGCATTATTTTAATATTAAAAAGAAAGGAGGAGGACTAATTGTGTGCCAGGCATAACTCAGTTTCTAGGAGAAAAGATTTCTCTGAAGTAGTCCCAAGCATCAAAATACAAAACATTAGTAGATTTTACTGAGAAACCTCTGCAAAATAATTAAAGTACTTGACATTAAATTTACAATGGTCATCTTTCAAGGCTTTAAGTAAACTTCCAAACACATACGTAATTTACAATTAAGGGGTTTTCCACTTTTTTTTTTTGCCTTTCAAGGCACTTCTCTGAGTAACAAATGGGGAGTAACAGATGCAGTGTGCAAAGCTATCAATTCAATGCTACAAAAAAAAGACAAAGATTTCTTGGAAATGTCTCACTGACAGCTTGATGCAAAATCCATTAATTCACTCTATTAGTTAGCAATTCATTCACATATATGGCTATTAGGATGAAAAAAAAAAGTTACTTCCTACCAATTTCATATTTTGTGCCAGCAACATTTGCAGTGATGACTCCATTTTTCTTCTTTCTGACTTTCCTTTTAATTGTGCTTTGATAGGGTAGTTCCGAACTCAAAGTCAGAGGAGTGGTTCCTTGGTTATCTTTGAAAAATAAAGTTGTAACTATCAACGTCTTTGTATCTCACATAACATACACAAATGAACTAAAAACACATTTATTTTGCTGCAACTCAGAGGTACAAGCATACTGCATAATTAATAGGCTATATTAAAAATCTAAGACTCACATACCTCCCTCATTAGGCAAGGATGGCATTATAACCTAGGATAGCGCAGAAGCAGAGTTCAAATTCCGTTCCAAGTTCTCAGTAAATGATGGAGCTGACAAAGTGAAATTATTTAAAGCTCCAGTCATACCATTTCAGTCTCTGGTTGTAGCAAATATTAGTTCCGGAATGGATAGATACCTGTGTTAAAAAAAAATACAAGAGACTTTGTTATAAAGAAGTCCTGAAAAGATCAAAACAGCAAAAAAAAATAAATATGGAAATGCTTTTAATATCAATTCAAAAGTAACAGTTATTTTAAAAGACTGATCAAGTTAGTATAAACCCAACACTTAGTACACTACAATTAAATTGGTTTGTTTCTATGAAAAATCATTTTGCAGTACTAATTTTCAAAATAAGATTATAGAATCATAGAATGGTTTGGGCTGGAAGGGGACTTAAAGATCATCTAGTTTCAACCCTTCTGCCACAGGCAGGGGCATCTCCCACTAGCCCCGTCCAGCCTGTCCTGGAACACTTCCAGGGACTATATTAACTCACTTTCTTATTTTCATTTGTCCAGGGGAGATTTGGGGCATAAAAATTTGTAACACTGATTTCAGTCAATGCTGCAAATTTTTATCTCTACAAAGCTCACTAAATTTACAGCCATTTTAAACTGTATTTTAATTTAAATCAGACACACCTTATTATGTGTTTTCAGGCACCAAATGGGAAATAACTGCCATCACCTTAATAATCTATTTCCACTTTTTCTTTTTTTCACATTTTTTAAAGCAATTGTCCAATAATTACTTGCTAACATATTACTGCAGTTTCATGACCACTTCATGACATAAGAGACATAATTTTAAATAAAATTTGGTCTGGTAACTATCTAAATTGTCAGTTTCTAAGTATTTGCATAAAATGCTATTTTTCATGTGTACATTGATGGAAAATTTCAAATATTTTCTCTATGAATACACTACCAAATGTGAAAATCCCACATATCAAAAAGGTTTTCAGGTCCAGCTTAAGCACATAAGAACAATGGACTAAAATTTTAGGAAAAAAACTCAGGAATAAAACATTTCTAAACACACTGTTACATGACTTCAAGCATGCAGCACTGTTAGAACAAAGTCTACATGGAAACAAACACCATCTTTGGCAGGCTGCCTCAGACAAATCTAAAAGTTTTCAAAACATATACAATCAAAGTTGGTGATTTTTAAATGATTTAATTTTTTTTCTGCAATTATATGTGTGGCTAAAGCTCCTTAGACTAGCTTTAGGTTAGTTTATATTGCACTCGTGATCGGAAAACTTATTTAAAGTAGCTTTATATGGAGCTCAAGGAATTTCTTTTACTATAAATAGCAAAAAAATCACAGTGAAGCTAAATTCAACCATGATTTATGATGTGAAACATATTTGGTCATAATACTGGACAAGATGTACATTAGCAAAGTCACCAAAACATTACTTATAAATCCTTGTCTTTTATTTGTGTGTGTGTGTACCCGTCAGAGAGATACACAATTATATTCTAGACAAGTCACCTTCTTGATAAGAGAACAGAAAAGCAGTCAGCTTGAGCTGCAAGATCTTATTTCATTTCAGGACAAAAATTTACTCTTAACAGTCCATTAATGTAAAAGGATAAAAAGAACAGATTATGGTTCTTTTATGACTGCTGCCAAAGTACTAGGGGTCGAATTCTGCTTCGCAATAAGACAAGCACATCTCCTTCATGTCCATTTAGTGAAGTGCCACAAATTAATACTCAGAGATGATCCTGTGTATTTACGCAGAAATTAGAAACAGGAGCTGTGTTATGATCAGATACAACGTTGGACATTATCGTGGTAACACCCAGCCATACCCACGCGCAGCACACTTGGCGGAACCAGATCTCCCTAATCCCTCCAAAGTGAACTAAAACCAGAGCCCATTTTTAAGTTTTAACGTTTTGGATGCCATCATCTGAGAAGGTGCCCTGAAAGTCCTCCTGCCTGCTGGCCTACTAAAATTAGACACAGAGATGGCAAAGCAAAGTGTTCATCCTCCTTCAAACCACTGTGAAGGAAAAGCAGTGCCGGGCACCATGACTCACCGCGCGCTGCATGTTATCTGTTCCTCAAGCTAAGAATATCACCAGAGAACAAAACGTGTTTAGTTCCTGGGAATAACACTGAAGTACATCCGTTAGCCAGCTAAGGACTTCTAGGCGCATACACAAAGGCTTGGCAGTTGTTCCTCTGCTGTACTGGCTAAAAACTTTTAACAAGCCCTTTCTAATACAGCATGATTTACAAGCTATGATATGGTAATAAAAGCCAAGCTGCTCACAGAGCTCTCATTCAGCTTATAATCACAGAAAAATATCTGCCCAAAGTTACTGTAACACACTGTATTCCGAAGGTGGACCACAAAGCTCCGAACTGCACTATGTTGTTGAATTACCGTTTTCATTTATATAGAAATTATTCTACTATACCAGGATGAATATTCTTCAGGGTTCAAATAGAAAGCACCAAGAGTCAAGGTCAACTTTTTCAGACACATATGTGAGTGGATGGTAAAGATTTATACCGACCTCTAGAGTATTCTATGGACAATTAGGAGTTTGGCCATATGGAAAACATAGTTATTGAACTGTCTAACTCTCATTAAAATCTCTGAAAATTGATCACTGAAGTACCTCTTTTCTTGACAAAACTATGGATGACATTATTTCTACCACCAGAGCTGAAGCACACACTCCACTAATAATGCCAAATCTCGCTACAACGACACGTGCAGTCTATTTGTCAAATCCTGATTTAAATCGAATCCTTCAGCAACAGAAGGGCTTGTTACTGTACTCAAACTTACTCTAGGATTTTGACTTTTCACAAGCACTGTCCTATATAAATAAATGGTATTCTGCCTTCAGCTTGTATATAATAATTCAAACTTGTTTTACAGTTGCTTCACTTCTTTTAAGTCGTCCATCTCCAAACAGCCATTTCACTGGTTGAACACCAGCAGCTCTAGATGAGTAGTTTTCCAAAATATTTTACATGGGATGTGGTCTTTTTCTTTGTTTCTGCTGGAACCATCCCCTTTCCAAAGGGCAAATACAGGTCCAATGGAATTGGATATCTTTTCTTCCCACCATGTCAACTAACAGACAAGATGTACAGGAGGATACAACACCCAGAGCACCAGCTGTGAGTTGCAGGCTAAGCCACAGGAGCCACGGGAGCAGTAGCCTTCATCCTGCTTAGATCTCCATGACTTTTATGTCCCCAGTTCAGCACCACAAGTAGTTCCAATTCTGCAGCAAGAAAAGCTAAGAGCAGGCTACTGAGGAAGCTGCAATAATCCCAAGTAAACTGAAACTGTTCCTCAGACTACGCTTAAGATGAGAGCAGTTCTCTCACTGGGAGGATGGGTCAATCAGGAGAGTGAACACATCTCTGAGAGCAATAAATGAAGAGCTGTTCCTGAAGTGAAGGAGCAGGAAGGAGAGGGCACACACTTAGAGAGCACAGAAATGCAACACTGCAGCACCACAGGCTCTGGCAGCCACAAGGTCCCATGTCTTCCCTCTTCTATACAGAAGAAATCACACCAGAATTACTTCGTTCTCTGACCATAGTCCTACCTCGGCACCTTTTTGCAGCTCTTATTATTATCACCCAGCCCAGCTCCCAGGTCAGAGCACCACTGTCTCAGCTGACAGAAAAGGACTTGCGGCATATCCTGCTTTACAGGCAGCCTCTGCCACCCCGGTGGAATTACCACTTACAGAGCAAAGCTTATTGCAGGGGCCATCGGATCATGCAACAGTAACAGCAGCAGCACTGTCAGGTAATTCTTATAAATGTGACAAGTTTTTACTTATAAAACAAGCATAACCGATAACCTGTGTTCAGCTACAAGAATGTGGAGGCATATCTTTCTAGTAACCTACCTGAAAGATCTGTTTCTAAGAGATTGCTTTTAATAACATGGAAGAAAGTATTCTATTTCCAAACTGGGACTCACAGAGCTTGCCTAACTGTCACAGGTCAGCTGTCAGGAATCTCTGGATTCACACTCAGGAAAGGATAGCTGTTCCTGCTGTATGTACCATTTCTCTCATGAAACGGATACATACAACTTGGTGAAGGTTTGTTGCTCACCCATACTTATTCAAGGGTGGCTGAACAAAAATGGTTAACCTACAAATGGAGAAAGACTTGTGAAGAAGAAATGAATGCATCTTCATCAGGTTAGCACATGCTTATACAAATAAGCACTTTGAGTAAAAGTGTTCTAGGGGGAAAAAAAAAGAGATGTTCTCTT